CTTCTAATAATCTGTATTTCTGTAAATGTAGGCAATTGCTCTATGATTGCATCTGTCGAGTTAAGCCATGAAATCAAGAGATCATGGGAATTCTAGAACTGAGTTAGCCAATCACATTGACTATGGGCAGTACTTCTGAAGCTTGGGTTCCCAACCTTCTTGGACTACAACTCCCAGGACTCTTAGCCAACACAGCTAGTGGTGAGGGCTTCTGGGAGTTTTAGGGCTAGAATGTCTGGTGCCCCAAAGCTGGGAACCGCTGATCAAGGGTTTATTAGCTAATTCACGGCTCTGTTATCACAAAGGTCAGAAAATGTATCTTTTTCAAGGGAAGACCATGCAGGGTTCCTTATATTTTTTGGTATGGTTCGTCTCATTCTATTCAGGGAGCTCTAAATGATGCAACTCAGATGATCCTTGGCTTGTTTGGAAGAATTAAAACTTCCTGTTTTCCCCATGATCTGGGGGTCTCTAGGGATCCCTTAGATTCTGGGAAAGCTTTGGAAGACATGGAACTGGTTGGGGATGCTTTAAAGCTCAAAACTCCCCACTTCTGGGAACACCGGCAGGATACAGAGACCTTCGGGTAGTGTGGGCGGCATATAAGTTAAATAAATAAATAAATAAAATAAAATTTGCCAGGTTTAAATCATTTCCTACTCTTTTCTGCTGCTCCTAGAGTCTTGCCCTGAGACAAAGGGGATCCCTAAGGACTAGATAACTAGATAACCTCTAAGGGAATGCCCAGAAAAAGGTGATTCTAGCACTGAACATTGCATCATGTCCCAATCAAGGCTTTGGCATTCTTTTATTAAATCGGTGGCTTAAATGGGGCATGATGGTTTTGTCTATTCTCGTGTGATGCAATTTCCAATAGGATGCAGGTAATCAACAAGCAGTAGCAGAGGGAGAAGAAAAAGAGGAGGAGGAGGGGTGGTGGTGGTAGTGGTTGTATTCTCCTAGGAAATGTAAAAAATAATAAAAATGTTGGATGGATCTGAAACACATATTTATGAACAACATTGCCACATCTACAAAAGGCTGCTGAAGATTGGACTTCAGATATCCAAGTTATACACTCACAAAGTGGATACCCTCAGGAAAGTGCCCTTTACCAGCTAGCTTGGGGAAACCTTGTCTTCATCAAACTTGGAGGGATTGTATAGGAGATTCAGAGGAAGCTTCCCTGCAATTTTGGTGTCTCTGGGTGGGTGGGGGACTGTTTTATAGACCAATAAATCAACAAATCAAAAATTGCTCAAATTCATTGCTTCATATTCATTGAGGCATTGATTCGTACAAACATGAATTGATGAATTAAGTCACTTTTAAATGAGTTTGGTGACTCATTTTTTAATTTGTACCCATTTCTAATAATGAAGTTATGATGGAATGAGAGAGAGAGAGAGAGAAATCCCACTTTTTCCCTAGCTTCTTTTTCCTCATCTGGTTATTGTGCTGGATGATAAATAGAATCAGGGCTTAACAAAGGAAATCGTTTTACAACAGAACCATTTGTACCAAATTAAATGATATTCTTACTATCAAGCAACTAAAATAGAGAACAGACCCGTTCTTGGTGTTGTGCGGAACTGTCCAGTAAAATCATGTTTAAAACAACTTGCAGAGTGATGATGAAGTTCTACCAGCACATCTTGTCCTTCATCTTTGCCGTTAAGGAGATCAATGAGAATCCGATGATCTTACCAAATGTGTCACTTGGATTCCACATCTATGACAGCTACAATGATGGACAGCTGACGTATCGTACCACCTTTGATCTTCTTTTCAAATCTCGCAGACTCACCCCCAATTATGCCTGCAATGGCCACAACCAACTAATAGCTGTCATAGGGTCATATACCTTGAAGATCTCATTCCTTATATCAGAACTTTTCAGCATTTTCAAGATTCCACAGGTAGGCTCTTTAGGGTTTGGGGTCTTGGACTTCTACTCATCTCCTATGTAGCATACTCTATTTCTGGCGATATTTGCATAGTTTAGAAAAACAATAGGAAAAACCAAAGCTGTATTTGGCATTTAGGAAATGACAACACATGAGGAAAGAATGTAACAGTCATGTTGAATTGGAAGAAGAGTCAGATTCTTACTCAGCTGCTAAAGAACACTTTCCTAGGGTCCTGCTTTGGGGGGCTATAACTCAGATATTTCAAATCCAATCTTCGCCAAAAATGGAAAGGGTGGGAGGGAGAGTCAGCCCACATTTGATGAAGGTTGGATTTGGGGCATCCAAGTTATAGCCAACATATGTATCGGCAATGCCGATAATAGTTTGGTGTTTCATTTTTGTTCTGGATGTGCACGTTTCCCTAAAGTGCTCTGAAATGAACCATGAAATGGCCCATTTCATGGATTTTTTTTAAAAAATCCATGGTTTATTAGTCTTAAGTGATCTTTAATGATATCACTTGACCAAACTCCGGGAGGCAGTGGAAGACAGGAGGGCCTGGCATCCTCTGGTCCATGGGATGATGAAGAGTCGGACACGACTAAACGACTAAACAACAACAATGATTTCACATTCTTCACATTTTCATCATACTTTAAAAATGCTCTTTCAGCTCACATATGGGTCATTTGCTACAGTGGAGAGTGACGCAACCTGGGTTCTCCCCCTTTACCACATGGCTCCAAATGAATTCCACCTCCAGGTGGGGATTATCAATTTGTTGAAGCACTTTCAGTGGATTTGGATTGGGATCTTTGTGGTCAACGATGACAGTGGAGAACGGTTCTTAAAGACCTTGGAGCCATTATTGTCTCTGAATGGACTCTGTTCTGAGTTTACCAGACAAATCCCAACTCATGACAACATATGGTCGCAGGAGAATCAATTTCATGTAGCCACTAATATTCATCTATATATCAGTAACTGGAAATCCAGAATATTTGTCGTTTATGGTGACACTTACACCTTTCTGTGGATGCAGTTTTTTATGAATCTTGACATGCCTTCAACCAAGGAAAACAGATTTGTTGGAAACGTATGGATTTTAACACCTCAGATTGATTGTACTGTTCCAGATGTTGATGAGATTCCACATCTGAGAATGTTCCAAGGGGCCATTTCCTTTATGATCCACTCAGCTGAACCTCCTGGTTTCCAAGAATTTCTTCGGAACATAAAACCTTCCTGGATAAATGGGGATTATTTTCTCCTGGAGTTCTGGGCAGTTGCCTTTGACTGTTCTCTTCCAGAAACCAGGATACCATACAAGATTGAAGGAACATGTACCGGAAAGGAGAGACTTGAGAACCTTCCTGCAATTCTTTTTGAAATGCGCATGACTGGCCACAGCTACGGTATTTATAATGCTGTTTATTCTGTGGCACATGCTTTACATGCGCTGTACTCATCTAGAGCTAGTTACAGCACCATGTTGCACGACCAAAAAAGTAGACTTGGAGATCTTCAGCCTTGGCAGGTATTGTATTGTCTTCCCCACAAAATGGCTTTTTCTGTGTGAATAGGCTAACACATTGTGGTTTGATGCATTCCTCAAAAAGACACAATTAACATTGGTTTGCCACTAAAACTTCCCATGTTATTTGGAATGAGACAGTGTTAGAACCAGTACATGAAAAAGTTACTAGTCCACCTACAGTATATTTCACAGAACCATAGGCAATATGACAATATGAGCACTCTTGGACAGTGGTTCCGAACCTTGGTTTCCTAGATGTCCTTTGACTTCACCTTCCAGAAGCTTTCACCATTAGCTGTGCTGGACAGGATTTCTGAGAGTTTTGGTCCAAGAATATCTGGGGACCCAAGGTTGGGAGCCACTGCTCTCGAAAGAGGTTTAGGAGCTGTACTCCAGAAAAAGTAACTTTCCCAAGCTCTAGAAAAACACTGGTTAAAACGACAGGTGGGATCTAGTCTTGGTAGGACCAATTCAATTAATGGGACTTATTTGTCTAATGACTATCATTATCACAATCTACCCAGATGTGCAGAACTGGGACCCTATGGATCATCAAGTTAATCCCCTGTCAAGGAGGCAAAGTGGGGAATCAAACTCCTAACCTCTGGCTCCACAGCCAGAGAGCTAAATCACTGAGCTACCCAACCGTTTATATATTACACAGGTGTGATTTTCAGATCTTCTGAACTACAAATGCAGTATTTCTCCATTCTGAGAGTTCTACCTACATTATAAGAACCTTGGAAATAACTGAATGTGATGCGCCTGGGAGAAAGGTTTATATTCAAAGGCTTCAAGGCTTAGCTAGGTCAAGCTCTGCCTAAGTGTATTACTCAGAAAGAAAGCTCCCAGCAAGCACCAGGACAAGAACAGGATACTTTGGTGGAACTTGGTCTAGCTGAGCCTCAAAGCCTGACAATGTAGAACTTTTGCCCACACTTGGATGTTTGCAATGTCTCTGTAAGGTAAATAGAATGGCTATAATGGATAATTATGGTAGGTGTAGTTCAGAAAATATGAAAATCCCATCCCTTCAGTATTATCCAATGGATAAGTAAGCTCTTGGAAATTACTTGATAGTACATAACGACAGAAAAATATTGGAAGCAAAGTCTGCGCTTACTGAAACCATGTTGCTTAGCACACTAAGTTGCACTATAGTAGGTGCATTGAATGCATGGGGATTTGGTGAGTAAACTCCTCTGAAAGTTCAATTAATTCAAATGGGCCTACTCTACTATCAATGTGCTGTGCTAAAGCACGTAGCAACCAAATAGGACCATTGAATCAGTGGAACCTACACAGGAGTTGACTTGCCAAATGTCCATTAATTACATGGGCCTACTCTAGTGCAACATTCTATGCTGACCAATGCTCTTTCCATCATCAAATCCCAAACTAGCAAGAAAAGGTATTTTGTTGTTGTTCCTAAATTTATGTGTGAAGACTTCATCATGTTAGTTTGTTTTTATCTTCTCTGTTAGGTCCAATCCTTTCTTCGGGATATCTCCTTTAACAACTCCGCTGGAGAATTAGTGTCTTTAAATGAGAACAGACTCATGAACACTGGTTTTGATATAATGAGTATGTTTGTATCTCAAAACCAATCTCTCCAGAAGGTGAAAGTTGGCTGGGCAAATCTTGAGGTGTTCATCCTTGATGAAAACATGATCACCTGGCATCACAGCTTTAACCAGGTACGAACTGTGTTGGAAGGAAAGGTAAACTTGCAGATGGAGCACACCAAAGAAAACTGTATTGATGAATAAAACAACCCTATAAAGGAGTTGAAAGAGTACAGAATTCATGCTAGTGAGCAGAGATGGGCACAGACTTGAAAAATGGTGGTTTGTGATGGTTCATTGTTAACCACCAGCCATGAACCACCATTAACCAACCGTAAAATGGAACTGCAAACCAGTTCATTTTGTTGTTGTTGTTGTTGTTGTTGTTGTTGTTGTTGTTGTTGTTTCTGTTTGGTTTGTTGTTTCTGCCTGGTGGAGGGTCCTACTGATGGGGTGGGGCTAACTTCTCCTTCCGTGCCATGCTGTAACGCTGCCACTTCACCATGGAGACAGCAGGTACATCTCCTGGAAGGGCCAATGTCTCTGAAGATGGTGGTGGTGGCACTAGAGGAGGAGGCAGCATCACCAGGTAGGGAGATGATGGGGTCAGTGGGAAGGAGTTGGGAGGGCATTCATTTTGCTGAAGCACCAAGTGGGGGAAAAAACAATTTGGCACAATAAACACCCTGGTTCATGTTTCTTTAAGGGTTGTTGTTTGGTTTATGCCTATCTCCACTACTGAGGCATAGGGTTAACTGCAACTAGTATATGGAAGATCAATCCATCCATCATAAACATGCCTAAACGTTATGCACAGGTCCGACCTCTTTCAGTCTGCAGTGAGTCCTGCCACCCTGGATTTTGGAAACGAACGAAGGAAGGGGAGAAATTTTGCTGCTACGACTGTGATGAGTGCCCAGAAGACAACATTTCTAACCAGTCAGGTAGGTGATGCAGTTAAGTGTGCAAGATTAACCAATGTCTGGCAGCCTCTCCAGAGAGGGATATATAAACCATCCTTTATCTCATTGCCCCAGGCAAGGATGATGAATTTCAGCTTTCTGGCTCTTGATGGTGTGGGTGAGTGAGGAATTGCATGGGGCTTTTGATAGAAATCTCACAATTTGGAGAACAATGTTTTCTTCAATCAATCAATCAATCAATCAATCAATCAATCAATCAATCAATCAATCAATCAATCAATCAATCAATCAATCAATCAATCAATCAATCAATCACATACAATAACAGATTTGGAAAGGGCCTATAAGGCCATAGAGTCCAACCTCCTGCAGGAATCCAAATCAAAGCAGATCGGACAGGTAATTGTCCAATTTTCTCTTGAATGCCTCTAGTGTTGAAGCATTCACCACCTCCTGAGGTAAATGGTTCCACTGTCACACTGCTCTAACAGTTAAGAAGTAAATGCTAACTGTAGCTGACGTCTGCCTGGAACTTTCATCCTAAAAAATTCCAAGAGAATGGTGTTATTGCAGTTGTTTTTCCTGCAAAATTGTTTAACACCCACCAGAATTCTTCACATACTTTGCCCCAGTGTATAAATAGCTTAGAGATTTTCCCTTTCAAGCATTCAATTCTAGATTCTAAACTTCTGCTTAAATAAGTTAGCTTCTTTTGCCACATGTTTCTTATTTACCCACACTGTCTTTAAGAATGTGATTCTTGCATTGCTGACCCTAAGGTCCTGCTGAGATTGATCTCACTCCTGTTCATGGCTATCAACTTGACCAAAAATGCTCGGCCATCAGCAAAGCAATACACCATGACACACTTCCCCCTAAACAGAATAATTGTCATAATCTCTCCTTGAACAGGATGCTATTACCTGGCTTCAAAAAAGGTTGTCCACATTTCATGTTTGCCCACTGATTGAAGAAGCTTGGAACTGCAAGTTTTAGAGATTAATCAAAAGTAGGAAGAACTTGGGTGTATGTTTTGATGACGCGCAAAATACCAGAGATGTTGGCAGGTTTTTGCGTCTGAGTCCAAATCTTTGGTACCAAGTCCTGAGTGCTAAGTCCCAAGTCCGAGATCCTATTAAAAATAATCTTTTTCCCCCAGAAAAAAAGGGGTAGGTGGATTCTGAGTTGCGAGCTGAGTCTCAATTATTTAAAAAAAAAGTTCAGTCTGAGTTGAGTCACCAGTGGGACTTAAGTCCAACTTTACAGCGAGACCAATGACTCAAGTCTCCACTCTTGAAAAATCACCCCTTGTGATAAATCAAAGTCCAAGTATCTTTTGTCCACAGGACAAGTCATTATCTCAAGGGAATGTGTCCAGACAGGGGACTTGTGACCAAAGAGGATGATTTCAATATTTAATAAATATTGTTTTTGATTGTGAAAATAGTTCACATTCGACTTAATATCACAGTGATCTCTCTTTCATTTTCCAGATATGGTTGATTGTTTCCAATGCTCAGAGGATCAATATCCAAGCAAGGAGAGAGATCGGTGCATCCCTAAAATTATTAGCTTTCTGTCCTATGAGGAACCCTTAGGAAAAACTCTCACTGCGGTTGCTGTTTCTTTGTCCCTCATCACACTATTGATACTTGGGACTTTTATTAAACACAAAGGTACGCCCATAGTCAAGGCCAACAATCGGGACCTCACCTACACTCTGCTTGTCTCTCTCTTCCTCTGCTTCCTCTCTCCTCTCCTGTTTCTTGGGCAACCTGGAAGACTGACCTGCCTCCTCCAGCAAACAGTCTTTGGCATCATCTTCTCAGTGGCTGTTTCTTGTGTGTTGGCCAAAACCATCACTGTGGTTGCAGCTTTCAAGGCCACCAAACCAGGGTCTGGCTTGAGGAAGTGGGTGGGGAGAAGAGTGGCGACTTCCATTGTTCTTTCTTGCTCCCTCATTCAAGTTGTTCTTTGCGCTGTCTGGCTAGGAACCTCTCCTCCATTCCAAGATTTAGACAAGCACTCAGCCATGGAAGAAATATTTATGCAGTGTAATTTGGGGTCCAGTACCATGTTTTACTTTGTCTTAGGATACCTGGGACTTCTGTCCGTCCTCAACCTCACTGTGGCTTTCCTGGCCAAGAAATTGCCAGACACATTTAATGAAGCCAAGTTCATCACCTTCAGTATGTTGATGTTTTGTAGCGTCTGGCTCTCTTTTGTTCCTACGTATCTGAGCACAAAGGGGAAACACTTGATAGCTGTGGAGATCTTCTCTCTCTTAGTCTCTAGTGCTGGGTTGCTGGGTTGTATTTTTGGCCCCAAATGTTACATTCTTTTGTTCAAGCCTGAGCTGAACACCAAGGAGCAGTTGAAAATAAGAAACAACTGAATGATCTATCCAATCAACTGCATTATTTGTGAGCCCTCTACGTGAGCAGAAATCTTCAGAAGGAATGTGAAAGAATATGCTCACAAGTAGGTTATAGGGAACTTTACAAAATGGTTAGGTTTAAACAATATCCCTGCATTGTTTGTTCCGCATGGGAGCATAACTCTCCCTACAGATGCTCTTTGTCTCTGCCCCCACCTGGATCAAGGTGTGAGGCTTGGAGAAAAGCAGTTTTGATTGCCCCATAACTGAGGGTTGAGCAATCTGCCTATATAAAGCATTCCTACCCTGTTCCCTTCATCATGTGACCCATCCATTCACCCATGGGTCTAGTGTGCGATTAGGCTGCCAATCCAGGGCCCTATAGAAATATTTTGGCCTCTTCCCATCCGATTCACACGTTGAACAAATGATAGGTGGGCCTTTTTTTAAAATCTATTCTGCACTGATTGTTCATGGGAAGCTGCAGCTGTGATCAATAGGTCACACATGCAGGTAGTGTGGAATGGGAAGATTAGCAGTGAGTTCTGAAGGGACTCCCAGGAAGATGATAGCCCAGCCGACTTCCCACCAACGCAAATCATGAGATTCTGTTACCAGGAGGGGTGAGGATGCTGAGGGTCCATCCCTGACCGTGACTTGCCAAAGGTCATGAAACTTGGGCAGGTGGTGGCTGAGGTGGGTCACCTGGTTTTCACTAGTTGGTGACATGCTGTTAAGAGGACCACGCTGATCCAGGGCTTGAATTCACTCATGTTAGGAAGATGAACATGTTCCATATGCGTTGTCTCTGACGGATTTTTTGTATCCCTTGGCAGGACAAAGTTCCAAATAGAGTAGTCCTAGATCAAGCTGTATTTTTAGCATGTATACATTACTGGAACAATGATGTCTACATTGGCTTGGGCATGTTGTGAGAATGGCTGATGGTTGGATTCCAAAAGATCTCCTGTATGGAGAATTAGTGCAGGGAAATCCCCCCGGGGGAGACCACAGCTGCGATACAAGGATCTCCGCAAGTGGGATCTGAAGGCCTTAGGAATGGCAGGAGTAGAGGTCAGGTGAGAACCCTGGCTCTTGACCCAGGTTTCTGAACTATAGTAGACTCCACTGCATCATTGGGTTAGCTACAGTTTGAATGTTAAATAGAGGTGTGGCCATAGTTTACCCCGCTAATTGTCTCACCTCCGTATTCCAGGCTTGAGGAAAAAGTCTTACCTTTGCCACTGAAAGTCTATATACGTGGAGGTGGGGATGTACATGTATTGCATGGCTATGTGGAGAAAAATGGGAACCTCTATAGAAGGGCACCAAATTTGCATAACAGGGATGTTTATACTAAGAAAAAAAAAGAGGAAAAACTAGGACTTGCTGATCAGATTATCAATGAGCTTCCAAAAAAAAAAAGAAAGAAAAAGAAAATTATGAAAAACATAACTATGGATTATCCCATTCAGTGGAGTCTGCCAGAATCAGAGAGACATTATATATGAATAGGGGATGTGGTGGCGCTGTGGGCTAAACCGCAGAAGCCTCTGTGCTGCAGGGTCAGAAGACCAGTAATTGTAAGATCAAATCCACGCGACGGAGTGAGCTCCCATTGCTTAGGGCAGGCGTGGTGGTCAAGTGAGACCCCTGGCTCCTGACCCAGGTTTATGAACTATAGTAGACTCCACTGCATCATTGGGTTAGCTACAGTTTGAATGTTAAATAAAGGTGTGGCCATAGTTTACCCCGCTAATTGTCTCACCTCCGTATTCCAGGCTTGAGGAAAAAGTCTTACCTTTGCCACTGAAAGTCTATATACGTGGAGGTGGGGATGTACATGTATTGCATGGCTATGTGGAGAAAAATGGGAACCTCTATAGAAGGGCACCAAATTTGCATAACAGGGATGTTTATACTAAGAAAAAAAAAGAGGAAAAACTAGGACTTGCTGATCAGATTATCAATGAGCTTCCAAAAAAAAAGAAAGAAAAAGGAAATTATGAAAAACATAACTATGAATTATCCCATTCAGTGGAGTCTGCCAGAATCAGAGAGACATTATATATGAATAGGGGATGTGGTGGCGCTGTGGGCTAAACCGCAGAAGCCTCTGTGCTGCAGGGTCAGAAGACCAGTAATTGTAAGATCAAATCCACGCGACGGAGTGAGCTCCCATTGCTTTGTCCCAGCTCCCGCCAACCTAGCAGTTCGAAAGCATGTAAATGCAAGTAGATAAATAGGGACCATTTCGGTGGGAAGGTAACAGCGTTCCGTGTCTAAGTCGCACTGGCCATGTGACCACGGAAGATTGTCTTCGGACAAAACGCTGGCTCTATGGCTTGGAAACGGGGATGAGCACTGCCCCCTAGAGTTGAACACAACTGGACAAAAATTGTCAAGGGGAACCTTTACCTATATATGAATAGAGATGGGCTCAGCTTTGAAAACCACTCATTCATGGGATTTCGTTGTTTGTGGCTAATCGGAAATCATCAGGAACACCTGGTAAACAAGCTGGTTTATGGTTCATTTTTCCAGTTCGTGCCTAGTGGGGAATTACCTCCACCTTCCACCTCCTCCTATGCTGCCCACATGCACCCTTCTCATTGCTCCCATGGTCTCACTAACTGGTCCTGCTGCCGCCATTACTGCCACCCCGCTGCCACCATGCTGCCCCTACCACCCTACCAGGAAGGGAAGCCATGTTGGCTGCCTCTGCGCATGGGTCTGCCATCTTATTGATCGGCAGGTGAATGTGCAGAGATAGTGTCCTGGCCTGCTGTCTCTGAGGATGGTAGTAGCAGGATCATGTAGGACAGCAATGGGGAAATGGATGGGTGGGCATCCCTTTTTGCCAAACAAAATTAAGCCCAGAGGGGAACAAAGTCAAGTGTTTCATTTTGCTTCAGCAAAAAAATGAAATCCCCAAACCGGTTCATGAACCGAACCACAAACCAGCCCGATTTGTTCATTTTTCTGGTTCATGGTTCAGTTCATGCCCATCTCTAGACAAGAATATCTCTCAAGGAAAAAAAAAACTAGTTACAGTAGAAAATTCTGGGAAATCATCCCACTTCCTTTATCAGCCCAAATTATTTAAAAGCAAAGCAGCCACTGGTATATCTAGTGCATAAAAGGGGATCCCCATGATACTCTTGACCATTCTTTCTAGCAGGATATTGTTTACCTAGACGTTTTGCTTTAGGACCTGGTGCCAATAATAACGAGCCTTTCACTGGAGAAAAGAAAGATGTCGTCACTTCCATCAAAATAAGGAGTACATCCTGGAGTGGGGTGCCACCAAGCTCACACTCACTGGTTGCAGGGTTTTTTTTTTTAACTCTCTGGCTTGTTGTCTCAGAACCTTTGTGAAGAGTAGGGTGGAGGGAAATAATCTTTATCAAAACAATTAGCAAGGTCAATATCAGTTTTCTGCATAATCACATAAATGTGCTTGTAGAAGTCAATCCAGTTTGACTTCTACTGAAGAGCGAATACATGCAATGACTAAGATGGAAGACAATTTATTTGCATGTCCTTGACTCCTGTGGATGTTCTTTAGAAGCAACAGAAGTGGACTGGAATAATTATTAAGAAGTTCCTTCCATCCCACCCAACTTTCTATGCAATGTTTAGAATTAACAGTCCAATCCTACTTGGACACAGATACTTTTATCTACTTTAGGGCAGAAATTGAGGTTCTCCTTGTCCCTTAGTTAGCATGACTTTAGATACAACAATAAATCACTTGAATCCATTTTGAGTCTTATCATCCTTACAGTAAGGTAGTATGTGTGTGTCCTGTGCTGTCAAGTCAAAACTGACTTAGAGTGACTCTAATAGGGCTTTCGAGGTAAGTGATATATTTAAGGAGTGATTTTATCATTTCCACTCCCCCAGTGAATTTCCATGACCTAGTAGGGATTTGAACCCTGTTCTCCAAAGTTCTAGTCCATAACGTTATCCAAAGAAGAACATAGGAAAAAAACCGAAGAACGTGACAGCTCCGGACAAAAGCATGCCAGGTCTAGAATTTTCTTGCAGCAAATCAATCAATCAATCAATCAAAAACGAAGAATGTGACAGCTCCGGACAAAAGCATGTCAGGTCTAGAATTTTCTGCAGCAAATCTATCTATCTATCTATCTATCTATCTATCTATCTATCTATCTATCTATCTATCTATCTATCTATCTATCTATCTATCTATCTATCTATCTATCTATCTATCTATCTATCTATCTATCTATCTATCTATCTCCCATCTGGTAAATTTTGCCACTCTGGGCGGCTTACAGCATAAAAAAGTAGAGTTCCTATCGGGAAGCCCACCAGAAGGATATTTCTGCACAGAAAACTCCAGAGGTAGAGTTCCTATCGGGACGCCCACTAGAAGGATATTTCTGCACAGAAAACTCCAGACCATTCCCAGTCTGGCAATTGAACTGGCTTTTTTTTCTCCTCCCCATGGAATTCTGGAACTCCTTTGCTTCTTGCATCACTGAGAGGCAAAAAAAAACCCCACCCCTTTTTCATCAAGCTTGATAAACATATTTTTGACAAAAGTGTCACTTGGGCCATGAAATAATTACTCATTATGTACTTCACTGCAATTTTCCCCCTCTGGGAAAGGTCTGGATGATGTCAAGAAAGCTAGAAAGCAACCACGATGGCACGACTTTGCCAGTAGCTATTTCAGCTGCTCCACTTGTGCTATCCTTGGCTGGGACCAGGTCGTGAAGAAGACAACGCTGTGTCAGTTGCGCATCTCTGGTGCCTCTTCTTTTCTGTGTTGTTGGACAGATTTTGGCACTGTACCAGGGATCTCTCTTGTCTTTCCAAGGCAGGCGTTGGTAATCCTGCTGCTACCACAGGAAAGAGGACAGCCTCATAATCTTTGAATCCTAGCAACCATAAAATAGGTGTCAGCCAAGGTGGTATTCCTGAGCAAAACAGAAGATGTTTTAGATGGCTGCTAGAGGCTTCGTACCCAGAGAGGTCCTTTGCTGGTGGACGAGTGGGCTGTCTCTCTTACTGTTGTTGCTTCTACTTCTTGACTGGGTGTGTGAAGCTGACACCATGAAATGCCCACTCACCGACCCCACAACTCTTCCCCATGAATTGTATCAATCTGGGGACTTACTCATTGGTGAGCTTGTATCTCAGCTGATTTACTATTTCCATGAATTTTCTTTCAAGGTGTATCCTTGGGAGGAATTTTCTGATTTGACAATGTGAGTGGGATTTTTCCTTTCTTTTCTTGCTTGCACTCTTTCATGCAAAGTATAAATTTAGCTCGACAATAGACTTTAAGAAAAAGCTGGTGGAACATGAATAGATCTGTGCCCTTCCAAACACATGTGTTGTCAATAGGCTATGCTTATATCTATTCTCTTTTGATTATAACATGTTTCCATTTGAAGGTTTCTCTCTCTCTCCTTGCACCATATTTTTCTAAGGTGCAATATTTATGGCATGTAACCTTTATTAGGGTGTGAGAAGTGTGGACCAAGAAAAGGGACAGTGTAAAAGTCACCTCTTGCAGTGTTTCCAATTCAGGCTCAAATTATCAGAAGATGATTTTTTTTATTCTGGATAAACAAAATTGCTTGTGCAATTGTAATTGCAACTGAGTCACACCAACTCAGGAAGTGTTGTAGTTCACAACCATGGTAGAGGTCAGTGGTGAATGATGGCCTTAGATGACAGTCATGGTGGAAACTATTCCCTCTAAAGGTAAGAAGGGTGATAACTGAAATGGAGGCAATTCAATGTTATTATTCTCATCTGTGGTTTTATGTGCATCAGTATGGAACTGTGCACTTCATTTTTGTCATCCCTTACAATTCTCCAGTCTTTGATTCCATATGAACCCCTTTGTAAAAACAAAGAGATTTAAAGTGAAGAGTGCGGTCAACACAAGTAAGTTCACTTTTAAAGGATACTACAAAATGAGACTGAGGGTGTATTTCCCCTGATTTCCTTTCCACTCCATTCACTAGTCTATGAAATACTGAATGTGCTAATTTTTCATGAAATGTGGGAGCACCGCACAGCAATGAGTGAAATAGAATTACTGGGGGAAAACACAGAACGGAATGCCCACTTGTTGTTCTTATAGCTCAGAGTCTACTTGAGAAGACCATGAGTCCTTGTTGTAGTTATGTGCCATCATGTCATATCTGATTTATGGTGACCCAGTGAATAATCACTCTCCAAAATGTCCTGTCCTCAAGAGCAAACTCAAGGTTGCCCGTTCCTGTGTAAAGTCAATCCACCTCCTCTTTGCTTTTCCCTTTTCACTGCTCCTTTCAGATTTTCCTAGCCTTATTATCTTTTCCAACAAGCGTGTAGTATGTGATTAGAACCTGAGGAAGACCAGTGTTTACAGGTGGAGAGGACATTGTGTTAATATCTTATTTCTGAACCCGTTTCTTTCTCTAGCAGTCTATCCATGCTGAATGGTCAAATCTGTTATATTTGCCATTAGATTTCCCTGTATACGTTCCCTGGATTCTCATTAAAAATTGTGTCATTCAAAATTCCATCTTGCTTTCCCTGATGTTTCTCTGACTTGTATGATCTCATTATTTAAGGGTAATATTGATCAAGAGAAAGGCTCCATACAGTCTTTCCCCTTATTCTTCACTTCATGGATTTGGTGCACAGGTCTTAAAAAAGAGATGAAGAACTTAGGTAACTCTAGTCTCCACCCACACATCGAATGATTAGAGAAAATTGTGGCTGTAGCCCTCTCAGCACCTCAGATTCTATCCAATATATATAAAGCTTTTTCAACAAGATCAGGGAGAGGTGAATGTTACTTGAATTGCAGGAAAACTGGGTGGTACAGCTTATGTTACTGAAAATGATCTAGCAATACATCCATGATACCTGACCTTAGTTTTCCCTGTTCCAAACTCCACCAGTTTTTAGAACTGAAAGTTCTGGGAAAAGAAGTGTTAAGAAGAAAACTTCTGCCCTTGTCAGTGACAATTGCCATTTCACAGTAGTTTTGTTCAGTCAGAAAAAAGTATAAGTATATATTATTTCAGGCCTGCTATTAAAAGGCAAAAAGCCCTTCTTCTGTTTAGGCCACCAAGATGAAAAATGGCTCAGTCTTGTGACTAAAGACTTATGACTTTCTATGTGATAGAATTCTTCAGTGAAAGGTTTTTTATTATTATTATTATTATTACAAAAGGTGACATTCTGGTGATGAATGAATTCTCTCTCTTCTATGCCTGTATCCACCTGTTTTTGTTGGAGGAAGGATCTGTTTTTTTCTTTGTCCTTCCACCACATTTGGCTCAGATACAATGTGTATGACATATGGTCTTCAGTAGAGAGTGACAAGTATAGGGAAGAAAAGGGACATGGGAAAAGTCACCTCCTGCAGAACTTCTAAATACAGAATAGAACTCCTGTTTATTGTCGTTCTTATAGCTCAGAGTCCACTGGGTGTTTCTTGTTCTTAGGTGTCATCAAGTTTCCTCTGATACACGGTGACACTATCGACAATTGATCTTCAGTGAAAAGGTCATTTAACTCTACTTGCAGGACGCTGACCAAGTTTTACCAGCACGTCTTGTCCCTGACCTTTGCTGTCAAAGAGATCAATGGGGACGTCAACATCTTACCCAACATCACTCTTGGTTTCAACATCTATGACAACTACAACGATGCACAGTTGACCTACCGTACCACCATGAACCTTCTCTTTAAGTCACAGAGATTGGTCCCCAACTACGAATGTGAGATGCAGGGTAAACTGACAGCTGTCATAGGAGCCCTTGCCTCCAAGGCCTCTTTCCGCATGGCACAAATCCTAAGTCTCTACAAGATCCCACAGGTAAGGCCTCTGTGTGGCCATTCTCAGCCTCTCATAGTTCTTTTACGTAAGGCACTTTTCCTCCTATCTCCCTGGTAATGAATTTCTAGTTTAGAACATCATCGATTGATGAAAAGACTGATTTTGATCCCCTGTAAAGAAGAAACAGGGCTGAGTGAGGACCACTGACAAATTTCATGCTCCACAAAATCCACAGAAGTGGTGGAGTCTGCAGATTGGAACCTGGTGTTACTTCAAGAAATATACATCAAACATAATGTCAGGCAGATCACTCCAATGTCTGCATGGCGATAGATCATTTCCTTTCAAACGTGAGATTTACTGGAATACATTCAAATAAATCGGGATCTACCCAGGCTATTAGTAGGTATAACTCTGGCAGCAGAAACATCTGCCGGTCTTGAGATCAGATTCTGGAGAACAAATGGCACCAAGGACAGAATCTTAGGCACTGCCACCTTTGAGGGAGGCAGGCACTACCTCTGTTTGCATTACTAACCTAACTCTGTGGAGACAGGGTCTCTACATTGAATTCAAATGTCTTTTACTCATGAATGTATTCATGTGCTTTTAATGTGTGTGTATTAGTGTGTGTGAGAGAGTGTGAAACAGTGAGAGAAGAAGAAATAATTGAATGAATGATCAAGTGAGTGTGTGGAGATCCCTCTCATTAAACCTTTGAATAAACCATATACATTAGAATTTAGCAGTTATATAAAGGTAGCCAGTGTACTTCATAGGTATAGCAAACCCCAGTATATAGTGTTCCTCAATGCACCAAAGGTACCATAAAACAATAAAACAAAACTCAGGCTTCTTCCTGAAGGAAATTCAAAGGAACTACCTGGGAAAGAAAGTTCAAAGGAATACCAATATTGATTACAACTTTTAACCATGGTTCATTGAGAAACACTATACCTTGGGCGTTACTATACATATGAAATACACTGGTAACCTTTATATAATTGCTGACTTCTAATGATCACTGCAGATGGTGACAGCAGCCACAAATTTAAAAGATGCCTGCTTCTTGGGAGGAAAGCGATGACATACCTCGACAACATCTTAAAAAGCAGAGACATCAGCTTGCTAACAAAGGTCCGCATAGTCAAAGCTATGGTTTTTCCTGTATGGAAGTGAGAGCTGGACCATAAAGAAGGCTGACCGCCGAAGAATTGATGCTTTTGAATTGTGTGCTGGAGGAGACTCTTGAGAGTTCCCTGGACTGCAAGGAGATCAAACCTATCCATTCTAAAGGAAATCAACCCTGAGTGCTCACTGGAAGGACAGATCCTGAAGTCGAGTCTCCAATAATTTGGCCATCTCATGAGAAGAGAAGACTCCCTGGAAAAGACTCTGATGTTGGGAAAGTGTGAAGGCAAGAGGAGAAGGGGACGACAGAGGATGAGATGCATGGACCGTGTCATCGAAGCGGCCAACATGAATGTAACCAAACTTCAAGAGGCAGGGGAAGACGGGAGGGCCTGGTGTGCTCTGGTCCATGGTGTCATGAAGAGTCGGATATGACTAAACGACTAAACAACAACAACAATGGTTAACTCGAAGGTGTAATGAGAGGGATCTCCACAAGTGAAGTTCGTTTTTGCAAACAACTGTATGAAAAGTAATCTAAAACTACTACAGTTGTGAAGAAATCATGTGCAATTATAACCAACCTCTTCACATTTCAGCTCACCTATGGCTCAGTTCCCCTCGTCAAAAACGAAGTCAAACAACTCCCTTTCTTTTACCGCATGGTCCCGAGTGAAGACCATCAGAACGTTGGGATTGTCAATTTGCTGAAGCATTTTGGCTGGACATGGGTTGGCCTTTTTGTGACAGATGATGACAACGGAGAACATTTTTTGCAGGCTCTGGAGCCGCGGCTTTCCCGCCATGGCATTTGCTCAGAGTTCACGGAACGAATTCCACCCCAGGAATATTTACATACTCTGAATGAAATGGAACTTAAACTGAAAAAGTTTATCAAGTTTTTCAATCATATGACGTCCAACATTTTTGTTTGCTATGGTAACACATTCTCCCTTATGTTCTTGTGGTATTTTGCTGGTGAAATGCCTCGAGAAATGAAAATGACATTTCCTGGCAAAGTATGGGTTATAACAGCCCAGGCTGATTTTATAATAGCTAGCATCAGCCGTCACCGTGATCTGCAAATGTTCCAAGGGGCCATTGCCTTTAGGATTCATTCCAACGAAGCTCCAGGGTTCCAAGAATATCTACGGACCATCAAACCTGACTGGGCGGAAGGAGACGATTTCCTCCAGGAGTTCTGGGTGGAAGCATTTGGTTGTTCCCTTCCTGATCCTCGGTTGCCGTACGTGATTACTGGCTCCTGCACCAGGAACGATAGACTGGAAAATCTTGCTGCACCTCTTTTTCAAATGCAAATGACTGGGCCCAGCTATAGTGTTTACAATGCTGTTTATGCTCTGGCCTATGCTATCCAAGCAATGCATTCCTTTAGACCCACTGGCAGAGAAATATTATATGAACAAAAAGAAAAAAACAAAGATTTTCAGCCATGGAAGGTGATTGTTTGATTGTTTGATTGATTGTTTGTTTGATTGATTGATTGACTGACTGAGTGATCAAACAATTCTATCTATCTATCTATCTATCTATCTATCTATCTATCTATCTATCTATCTATCTATCTATCTATCTATCTATCTATCTATCTATCTATCTATCTATCTATCTATCTATTTATGCTCTTTTTAAATTAATGCCACTCAACTTTATGCCATATGTATTTTTAAAAAAAAACTGTTGAAATTTTCACAATGTCGCATGCTGCCTGTGTTTTGAGTGAATGGGAGGGGCTTTCCTGGGCTGGAGTACCTGTCAAGCTATGTAGCACTAACTAATCTTCCCGTTCCACCTCTGATTTCTAAGAGAGCCCACCTGTCTGCTGAGACTCTTTGTTGCAAGCAGTCACTTAGTTTGTAAGTTGGTGCTGATCTGTTCACAACTGTAAATAATGAAACGTTTTTATTCTTCCCCCTACAAATGTCTCTGAGTTATTGGGACTATAAGTGCCAGTTAATGAGAAAGGGGTGGACCATCTGGGAAGTGAAGCTGTTCTCCTCTGTGAGTCTCTGTACTTCTATTGTGTAGTAAAAAGGAATTTTAACCAGAAAATGCAAACAAGGCCTCTACAAAACATACACTGTGTATCCAGTGATCCAAAGTTATGATGTTTGAATTGACAATATTTTCAGCAGTTTTGCAGGTAAATAAATGCCAAACGGCCTCAGCGTGGCTGTTGCCAAATCAAGAGGTGCAGTGGGAGTAATGTAGAGTCCTTTCTTTCCACACTAGTGAGAAGAATGTAGCCGTTCTTGTGTGATTTGTGAGGATAAAGAAAAAAAAAGACATAGATTGAAGTATCCCAGAATAACTCCATAAGGGTGTCAGACAAATTATTTCTCCTCACAGATTTCACAATGTTCTCTAGGATGTTCTATAAAAGCAAAAACAGTAGGTTCCTGTCTTAACGTCCCGTTGAACTTAAAACTAGTATTTTGTGAGATGAAACTGAGTAATTAATGCCTAATATTCTCACATTCTGTTTAATGAAGCCAATGATGCTTAAGTTAATCATTCAAGTTCTCTGGTTGATTTTGATGGATCAACAGGGTAGCTGAGCAGGTCTGGATACAGTGGCTGAAATCTAGTCGTAGGTTGCAAATAGAGTAAGGTAAAGGTGAAGGTTCCCCTTGACATTTTTTGTCCAGTCGTGTTCGACTCTAGGGGGCGGTGCTCATCCCCGTTTCCAAGCCATAGAGCCAGCGTTTTGTCCAAAGACAATCTTCCGTGGTCACATGGCCAGTGCGACTTAGACACGGAACACTGTTACCTTCCCACCGAGGTGGTCCCTATTGATCTACTTGCATTGGCATGCTTTCGAAGCGCAAATAGAGTAGGTATTTTAAAAAAAGGAATTTACTGACATGTTGACTCACAAAATCCCTGTAGATTCAATGAGATAATTCTGGATGGGACTTAACAATAGATTTCAGTCTACGAATAGTTAGGAAAGAATATGTCTTTGAGTATATTGTCTCAGGAAGACTTCAAAATGTTTTTCACCTTTCTCCTTTTAATTGCCTTCAACTAGTTGCACAGGTTTCTTCAAGAGATTTCATTTAACAACTCTGCTGGAGACCGAGTGTCATTCAACGATGAGAGGGAAGTGAGAGGTGGATTTGATATCACGAATTTGGTGACATTTCCAAACAGGTCCTTTCATAATGTGAAAATTGGATGGGTGAATCCTGAGGCTCCTGAAGACCAACTATTTGTTCTTCATGGGGACATGATTACATGGCACAGGGACTTTAACCAGGTGTAGATTCTGGTGTTTTCTTTTAATTGGGCCAAACCTTTATAAAAATGGGTGATCTTGGCCTCCTCCAAAATGTAAGAACTTCTGGCTTAAATGGACTCCATTCTTAGGTGATTGCTATTAAAGTCTGACCCATATCACATTCAACAGTAAAGTGGGGCTTGCAGAAGGGGTGGTCCTGCAGCCCCAGGATCAACTAGGAGGTGTGTTAGGCTCTAGCAGGCTTCCTCTCTGTTTCCCCTCTTGCCTACAGCTAGGCAAGAAAGGAAACAGAGAGGGACCCTATGTTGGCTTGGGCATGTTGTGGAACATCTTGGGCATGTTGGGTATGTCTATGTTGGCTTGGGCATGTCGTGAGAATGGCTGATGGTCCGATTCCAAAAGATCTCCTGTATGGAGAATTAGTGCAGGGAAATCGCCCCAGAGGGAGACCACATCTGCGATACAAGGATATCTGCAAGCGGGATCTGAAGGCCTTAGGAATGGAACTCAACAGATGGGAAACCCTGACATCGGAGTGTTCAGCCTGGAGGCAGGCGTTCCATCATGGCCTCTCCCAATTTGAAGAGATCCTTGTCCAGCAGGCCGAGGCAAAGAGGCAGTCCCGAAACCAGCCAAATCAGGGAGCTAGACAGGACAGATTGTATTTGTCTTCCATGTGGAAGGGATTGTCAGTCTCGTATTGGCCTTCTCAGCCACACTAGACACTGTTCCAAGACCTCTATTTTTCACAGCATGTTATTTATTCATTCATTCATTCATTCATTCATTCATTCATTCATTCATTCATTCATTTATTTATTTATTTATT